TAATTAGTATTAGTATACTATTAGTATTTAGCTTTAGTATTATTAGCTCTTGATAATATCAGGAGTGTCATACAACATCAGGACTGTCATATATGTATATAGCTCATATCTATATTATGACACTTCTGATAACATGGCATATATATATATATAATATATAACTATATATATATAATATATATATGCGCGCAGCAATAATCCCAGCTTCAGACTTGGTACGTCCCAATCCGACCGGACCCCCTCCCCATTGCTATGAGCACCTCCATTCCCTATCGCCTATATGCATCCCATCACGCATCGCTATTACGATCCGCTCCCCCACGCTACGATCCCACTCCCACCGCTACGACCCCCTCACTCACCGCTACGATCCCACTCCTCACCGCTACGATCCCTTTCCCCACCGGCTACGATTCCCCTCCGCAACCTCTAACGATCCCTCTCCGCCCACCGCTACGATCCCCTCCCCCACCGCTGCGATCCCTCCCCCACCGCTACGATTCCCCTCGCCCACCCTACGATCCCCCTCCCAACTCGCTACGATCCCCCTCCCCACCGGCTACGATCCCCCTCCCCCACCTCCGCTAATCTTCCCGCCCATCGCTATGATCACCCACCAAAAACTACCGACCCCCCCCCCCCCCGCTATTGCGCTGACAATCATATCCGCGGGAACCTGAATACGCTTCTATTCTCGTCTGTCGACCCAGCTAACTGCAGGTTTAAAAAAAATATTTTTGCTGAATGTGTCCTTGACCCGTGCACTAAATGTTAGGTATGCGGCACAAGCGTCTGTATCCGCCAACCCTCCTTTGCATGCCGTGGCGTAAACTGGGTTCGCGTTATGCGGGATTGAATTTATAAGGCGAAACCCTGTCGGGGGGAGAATTTCATTACTTTTGCTATTTTACTTGCCCTCTCGGGACCGCGTTAGGCGTTCACGTGTACGCTACACACAGCTCTTGCGAACAAACAAAGTTACACTTTTATCGAAAACGAACTCAAATCGCACCATTTAGCATACACGGAGCAGCCGTTTTAGCGACGCGTTGTGATCAGGAATATATTATATTATATATTAGATATATTATAAATTATAATTTATTATAGAGAGATGAGAGAGAGACGAGAGAGGGAGGAGACGAAGAGGAGGAGGACGAGAGAGAACGAAAGATATTGTACCAGTATATGGCAGTAGGCAGTACGTGTACGTACGTACGTACGTACGTATGAGTGGTATTACGGAGAGCCGAATGACGCACTCTGAGAATAACGATTGTAAAGACCGAGGGCAGATGGAAGAAAGAGATAGAAGAGAGGAGAGAAAGATCGAGAGAGAGGATAACAAGAGACGATTCTGATACGGCGAAAAAGGCGAATTGTTCAAGTGAGAGTTTGATAGTGGAAGAAAACTATGAGTAGTAGATGTTAGAGATGAGAAAGGAGATCGCAGAGAGAGAAGACTGAGATAAGTGGGAGAGGATGAAAGAGAGAATGTGGTGTAGATGTTTCAGTTGGGAATGATGAGAGAGAGATGACAGACAGAGAGAGAGACGAAGAGAGAGATCCAGAGAGACAGAAAAGAGCTGAATAGAGATCGATGGATGAAGATGAGACTCGGTCGAGAGCACGAGAGAAGTCAAAGATAACGAACCAAACAACGCAGCTTTACGGAAAACGTGGCGACGAGTGAGTAGAGAGACGATTAGAGAGCAGAGTGGCGGGGTTGAGGATTGTGCTTATGCACCTACATGGCTCCTTGCGTGCCGACCTCTCTGGAAGTTGTGATCAGCTGTGAGGACCTCTGTTTTCACGGCATGTGTATCACAGATTCTTAGACTAACCTGGCTGATGTCAGAGGGAACGGTTTCAGAGCAAGCAGAGGATTTCCATGCTTGCCAAATTATTTAAGGGCGCGGCATAGCAAACAACGTTGTGAAGAGATGGTCGTGTTTGTGCTCAAGTCAAATGATTAGGTGTGTGCCGGACATCATATTAGTATGTGCTTTACCGCGAGGCCACTGAATCAGGGAGATATTTTTGGGTGTGAATTTTTGATGCAGGAATATTAGCTTCGTGAATTTTGTTTGCTGCGAGGCGGATTTTCTCGTGCCCCATCTTTTCTTTTATCATTATTTGACGACCGAGTACGAATCGCCCACGCTCGTTCTTCGGCCTATATCTTAACTCCACGAAACTATAACCTTCACAAATAATGTAAAGGTAATTGGTTCGGTCCAAATATGACTTGATAATTTGGAATGAAAATGAATTTTGAAATGAACATACAAAATGAGCATGTTTGTAAATATAGAAATGTGGAACGATCGGTGTTCATAAATGAAATGCATTGCCTGTCACCGTAATTAAATGCTTTTCACACGATGTAATTATTACAAAATATTCATGCTTGTTTGTTGTTTAATTCTGTATAAATGCGTCTGCTAATATAATGGTGGTGATTAGAACGATGTTAAATGATAGCGACGATTGCGTGAATTTTAAAATAAAAATGAATCTCTGAATGTGATAAAAATGAAAATAACTAACTTGCACAGGAAGATATAATAGACATAACCTTGTTCGTTGAATTTGTCAATAATTCGTTCTCAAGTGATTAGTCATTATCTACCTAGCATCTAGTACATATAGACTCCGCGTTACAGTTGCTTGCGAGAGCTTGCGGCAAGCTAGTACGCGGGCTTTATTATGAGGTACTAGACGCATATTATTTAATCTCACACGTGCTACTGCTGATAGTGTGAGATAAGTAGGGGATGATGGGTTCGATGTAAGATGCGTGCTGTGACTTGGACTATGGTTGGTGTTGGTGAAGTATTAGCAGTTTTTAGTACAATATATAGTGTTAGGTGGTCGTAATAGATGCTGTATGTGCTGATTGTTGTGATATGCTGGTATATAGTTGTGGTGTATTTTGTTGTTTGTGTGTTGATTGTGTTGATTGTTGTGTGTTGGTATTTAGTAATGTTGGTGGTATGAAATGAATTTGAAGGGTGATAGTGTAGGTATAGGTGTTGGGGGCGTGTGGTGAGTTATTGGTTGCGGGTGGAGCGCTTTTGGCAGGTGTAAAATAAATTTGATAATGGCGCCGCAACGCAGAATGAAATTTGATAAGTCGCAATGAGATTGGTACTGATAAATAAAAATATCCGGGTTAGGTTGTTGTTGTGTGTATGCCTGTTTTTGTTGTGGTCGCGGTCGGTTAAATTAGGTCGCGGGATGGAGCGATGGGCCGCACGGTCATATGACGGTCGGTTTTCAGAGTATTTAAGCAATGCTGGTTTTGCGGCGGTGGCTCAATCCGCTGGTTTCAATTTGGGTGTGTGTGGTCGTTTCTATTCCGAGAATGAGGGAGTGGTCGTATCGTATATAGCCGGCCAGGGATTGAAGGATGGCAAACCTATTGCTACATTCTGGCTAGTGTCCGGCGACACCCGGCTCTTAATGGACAACCAGCACCTTGTGCGTATCATAGCAATTTAGCTAAGATTCAGCGCCGAAGCGCGGATTATTAATCTACGTTCTGCTTCACGTGCCAGTATTTTTTTGTCTATGGGGTGTGCTGTATGCGTGGTGTTTTGTTGTTTTTATTGGCCTTAGGCTTGTGGTTTGTGTGTGCTGGGGTGTTGCAGGATAGCGAGACTGCCTCCAATACGTGGGTGGGTGTTGAGAGCTGCCGATGGCGGTGGCGGCGGACATACGGGCCTCCGGACGCGGTGCCGGTGTTGTTGTTGTTGTTGATTGTTGGGTTATGGTTGTTTGTCGTTGTTTGGTGGTCGTGATACGGTTGCGCCTGACGCTTAGGTCTAAGGCAAGGGTTGAGTCGGGTTGGTTGGCTGCCTGGTCCCGGTGGGCTCACGAACGTTGTTGGCACTTAGCGGCGGTGTCGGTGGCGGTGGTGTTCGTTGTTTGATGGCTGTTGTTTTGTTGTTGGGTGGTGGTGATAGAGCTAGTGTAGGCATAGGTGGTGATCTCGGACGCTATGTGGTTACGCGGCCCGGTGATGCCTGGGTGGACAGACGCTCCGTGTTATGTTGTTGTGTTAATGGTTTTATATATCGTTATGGCGGTGTAGCGGTTAGCGCGGTATACTGGTCGTCGTGTGCGTGGGGCCGGCGGTGGTTCGTTGTTTGTTGTTTCTGGTTTTGTTGTAGCGACTGTCGGTGGTTAGCCGGTGGTTGGGCTGTGGCGGGTGGCGGTATATTTGTAGGTAGGCGGTAATAATTTACAACGAAACAGGCATTCCTATTTCTAACAGCGTTAAAATAATAACTGTGAATGTGTATTATAATCGCATAAACTGTTTGAGAGGGAAGTGTATGAAATCAAAAATTTATGAAGGTTTTGGCATCGTTTTGGACGTGATTGTCTGTTTGTCATATGTTAATCTGTTTTCATTGTCCTGGTTTAAGGGTCGTGGTGTGGACTTAGTTTGCACTAATTTTAAAGAGGACTCTATTGGTGATGAATTGACTGATGCATTGATGAACTTTACGGCACGACTTCTACATTAGTTTGGTTTGGTTAAAGGACCTTTTTCATGGTCGGGCAATCGACCAGCTTAGAGGGTGAGAAACTGGTCCGCGAGATAGTGGGCTCTTCAACAGATTAAGGCTAAGTGGGCTTAGGTCCACGATGGCGGTACAACGCGGTCTTTGCCATTATAAAACTTATCACGACTTGGTCACCAGGTCCGATCATTCCTCATCGCTTATAAAGTAGATTTCTCCCGTCACGAAACAACAGTTTGGCCCGGGAGCTAGAGTGGGAAAATCGTCCACAAGCGCACCAGTGTGAAGGTTTATATTATCAGCTTTCACCCATATTATATAGATAGGTGATAGCTCGCTAATGGTCTAACTTTACTTTGAGAATTGCATATTACGTGCATGGGTTGGACAGATTTGCAGACTTTAGACGTAATATATAGCGTTTTTGTTGCGGAACAAGTATTTACAGAGCAAAACCATCAATAATAGCACAAAGAATTCTGCTATGTAAGAGTATTTGAGCGTTTGATATATTACTTGTGTGTTCACTTTTATATCTATTCGTGAGTTGCCAGCCATGGAGGTGGTGGCGTATATTCGATGTGCCTGCATGTGTGTGCGTGTTGTGCGTCCCATGTGGTGTGCGTGCTGTGCGTGCGCGTGTTGTGTTAAATACTAGTAGTATACTAATACTAATTACTACTACTAATAAAGCTGAAGGTATTATTAGATCTTGACATTATTGCTATTTGGAGTGCCATGTCCGACATGGGGTACTATGTCATTGTTATGGCGTTATATTAGTTGTACAGGCGCCGTGTCCTACGTACCCTCGCCTGCTCGCCAATAGACGATAAAGCCCACATATTTGTCACTGAGAACAATCCCAATTGCTGTTATTATAGCTATACTATTGCTGCTATTGCTATAGCTGCTATTGCTGCTATAGAGCGTTCCAACTCTGCTAATGATGCAGGCGACTCCGATTCTGGTGCATTACCGCCATGATGCCAATGAATATTTTATAACCATTGTCCTCGTGTAAGCATTGCTTGATTGTCCGGCAGTAGCACTGAGCTGTATATAATAACAGCTCAGTTATTATAATTATATACAGCGCAGTGGGAAATTGTCCACCGTCACATCATACAGCATCAGCCAGGCATCAGCGTGCAGTATGGGCATCGTCATCTGGCTTTCTGCTTAGTTCAACGAGTTTACTGTGTATCTGAACAAGAGTAAATAATAATACGCCCTACGCGATCCTTCTTAGATACAATAATGTCACCAAACAAAGAAGTATAGGGAGTAGTGTTGGCTTACATTATTGTAGCTATAGATTCCTTTTACGTCCTACGTGGGCTACTGTTTACTCCTGATCGAATATGTCTAATATAATTATCAAAAGTCAATAATAGAAGCGATAAACATAACAAAAATTCTATTATGGACGCTTGCTAATATGTAACATCAACGTAATCCCGACTGCCGATTCACAATTTTTAATCACTGTAGCGATCGAGTTATCGATGTTTCTAGGACTGGCACGCGTCAAGCGATTGGGAAACAAGTTCGGGAGATTTGTAAGAGAGCTGCTAGGGTTGATGGTTAGACAGCTGCAGCTAGAAGGAACGTAGTAGCGCTCAAGGGGTCGTTGTCGTATCAGGTACTACAGATATGTACCCGAGGTACATATGTACCTATTTGCATGCGAAGCGTGTTCTATATATCCACCAACAGGCTACGCCGCTTCTATATATACAGAATTATACAAGACGCTGCACAGTATAGTTATATTCAAGATTCAAATAATTTATTTGTGCATAAGACATATTTACATTCAGTATACAACGATACATATTAGAATGAAAGGTCACAATACATAATGTAATAGATATAGGGCACAATGGAGGCCACAGGATCATCAGGGGCACATGATATAGATATCTCTACATCCCTAGAAGTGAATAAAAACAAATCCTGATTTTTAGATTCGCTTTACATCACTTCTGACGTCACCCACCCGCTGATACCATTCTCATCAAATCTTCACACAACGAGTCATATAATAACCCTGTAATACGCATCCGCACACAGGTTACCTACTACTCGCTGCCGTCGCCAAGAACAGTGGCGCCACCGTCCGCGATCTGAACATAGAGGAATATTTCCGTCCTCGACATCCGGTATTTCTCAGCGAAACCTTTAACGAGCTGATGGGTCAGTTCAGCAACCTGCACAAGCTCAGCATCAGTTACAACTGCATGTCGGACGAGCTGCTGGCGAGCCTCGCTTCCACCTGCGCTGGTCGGCTGAGTCACGTGACCGTGAGATGCTACAAGACGGAGCCGCATCACCAGAAGATCTACGGACAGCAGTGGAAGAACCTCTGCCGCGTCTGCCCGAAGCTAAAGGTTCGTTCGCTATACGCATCAGTTTTTGAGCTCTAGTCGTGGGTGGTTATAAGCGTATATGTACGTGGTATAGACAATAACGCGTATAATTAAGCACAATAATTTCGTGGCTTTATTGCTAATATTGTTGGCTTTATTGTCATGTCTGCTATTACGAAACGCCTTGTGGTCAGGTGTAATTTTGATGAGCAATGATGAAACTGAGGACGATGAGGAGGAAGATGATGAAGGAGGACGATGAGGAGGAGGATGATGAAGGAGGACGATGATGTTAATGATGATAATGAATATGTTGTCATTGCTACTGCTGCTGCTGATTATGATGATGATGATGATGATGATGATGGTGATGCTATTGACGACAACGATAGCGATGACGATGGTCATGGTGAAGTTGATAATGATGATGATGATAGTGATGATAATAATAGCAATAATTAAAATAATAATAATAATAACAATAATAATCAGAAGATGATGAATACGATAAGGATGATGATATCATAATGAATTCTATGTTGCCGCTTCGCTATACGACAGGTAAAATATTGTCTGGAGAGAATTCGCGCCTACTCCGAGATCAAGTTGATGTTAGTACCGGAGATACCTCTCTATCACTTGCAAATCTGGGCCGGCTACGAGAGCTCGCAAATAGACTGGCGCGTGTGCGACACCATCGACTACATCACCACCAACTTCTGCGATACGCTGGGTGAGTATAGTGTGAGCCGCTGCAAGAGATCAGCTGAGGTCAAGTAGATACTCTTCTGCCATATATACCGAGAATCCGACGGCCAAGACATATTTTCTTATCATCAGACTACTAGCACACGTCGCGCTTTTTCACTGAAGGCAGAAACATCAAGTGCATGGAAAATCTGATTTAGATTTAGATGCACAACCCTTTCCCTGTGCCAATGTACATAGAATGACGCTCGCTTCGCCATTGTCAGCTAAGATGAGTTTTTTCGGCTAATCTTACTCGCCTAATTATGCCTATGCATATAGTAATGGACAAAGACTTGTACTTGCAAGCGTATTGTAGGCTGTGTAACTATGTGATACATTTTGTGTAGAGTAGTTATATAGGTTATACATTTTGTATAGTTATATGTGAAAAATACAACACAGGTATGGCCAACGTAACATATCCTTTCGTACTAAAAATATATTATGAGATATATATGAGATAAGATGTCCTTATCCTATATATATATTATCCGCCTCACGCTATAAAATCTAGTGTTATTCCCGCTATAGACTCTATACATGGTCTCTTGAACACTTGTATATTTTCAGAGCACGTTTCTCTGGAATATGACGAGAGCACTGAATTCATAGACGACCGCTTGCTGGCGCTAGTGTCGCGCTGCAGACACCTCGAACACATGGATGTCAATGCGGTCCTGCAGCTAGCGACTGTCGACACGTTGCTGAACCAACAAAAAGAATATAAAATAGGTGTCTACATTCACATATAGTATATAAATTTCTCTAGATGCATACATTTGTACATGCGAACGCGCGTTTAAGCGCATACGTGTGCGCGAACGTGTGCCTGACTATGCGCATGTGCGTGTGTTCGTGCGTGTGCGCGCGCGTGTGCTTTACTATGCGCATGTGTGTGTGTGTGTGTGTGTGTGCGTGTGTGCGTGTGTGTGCGTGTGTGTGTGTGTGTGTATGTGTGTGTGTGTGTGTGTGCGCGCGCGCCCGCGTGTGTGCGTGCGTGCGTGCACGTGCGCGTGCGTTCGTCCGCATCGTTGCTAGCAACGCCCTCTATCGTCGCTGCGCAGGACTACTCGGCTGTCACATTGTCGTCTGCGGGCTGACGGAGCACGGCACCGAGCGGCTGTCCGACATCATGCAGCAACACCAGGAGTGGCTCGACGAGCGAGGCGTCGACTTCCGCTGCACGAGCGACCACGCCTTGCATCACCAATGACGCCGCGTGCCGACGGCCGACCGACAGGCGGTCGTCGTCGACTGCTGCGGCTGGGTGGCCCTCGTCGTTGGCTGCGTGCTCGTGTTCATCAACATGCTGCTCGTCGTTCCGCAGACGTTCGAATTGTACGATGTTTAATCTTTTCTATAATCGTGGCGTGCGCGTCGGCGCGTAGCTCGGGGGGTTGAATTGGGAGAGTGAGTGAGCGAGTGACTTAGTGGCTTAATTAGTGAGTCTTAGTGTGACTTAGTGAGTGTGACTTAGCGAGTGGCTTAGTGAGTCAGTTAGTGAGTTGAGTGAGTGAGTGAGTTACGATGATAGGGGAAAAGAGGAGGTGTAAATCGGTTAGGATAGCCCGTAGGGGTACGATCGCTGGGGAAAAGAGGAGGAGGAGGAGGAGGAGGAGGAGGCAGTGTGCTTGTCATGGAGAGGAGATGGCAGAACAATGGTGGGGAACGGGAAGAGGAGAGGTTGTTTTACGGACGGTGCGTGGTGGTATACGGTGAGAAATAAAGAAGCCGAAAACAGGGGGGTTCTGTTAAGAAGGGTAAGTATATCACGGTAGTGTGGTATCAGGTGTCTATCAATAGACTAGACTAGACTAGATAGAATAGACTATTGATAGACTCCTGGTAGTATTATAGGTCAGGTTTCGTTTTACGTGAATGGTGGCGTATATGGTAGAAGGAGGAATAACCGAGTTAAAGCGTTGTATTGCGGTGGGGGCGTGTTACATCTACGGTAGCGAAGGGAAAGAATTGTGTTACATTGGAGCATTTGTATTGGAGCATGGTTTCTACCAAGGTCGTGGAGAAGTGAACGAGGTAAAGGG